TAACTTATGTTGTTACGTGTGTACTAGTATGCGAGAGGTTGGTGGCCAGACGAATTCCCCTTTGTACCAACCCTGGTATAGTGGGCCAATCATTGGTAGGGGAGGAAAAGGCGACGAGGGAGAGGAAATGCGAATGTGAACACATTCTGCAGTCACAATAATAACTAGAGTCAAACCTCGTTAGTATGAACACTGATAAGGCGAACTTTCCATTAGTACGAACTAGGGCCAATCCTATGGTTGGCCAGGCATCAATTCAAGTCAAAATTATTCGTTTACGACGAGCTTCTGTACAGCGAACTTTCGCGAAGACGAACTATTTTCAAGTGTGATTTGAACAAAGTCAGTGTGGTCATGTACATGTAGTACGAACTTTCGGTCCACGAGCGTGCGCGTGCGCTGGCTGCTTTTTTTCTTCTTTTTTTTCAATAGTCGAGGTCTTATTGTACGTACAGTGCAAATTGTTTTCAAGCGTGTTTTGAACAAATCAATCAGTGCGTTGTACGAACTTTGGACACAGTCGTGATTCATTGCACTGTTTCTGGCTTATGCTAAGAATAACATGCTTCCCATGTACCACAGCATGCACCTTCACGTAAATACAATCCATCTGATATGCATATCGATGTTTTGTCAGATCTGGATAAGATTAACTCCCGATAAGACAAACAAATTTGTTCAGTCCCTTGAAGTTCATCCTAACGAGGTTTGACTGTACTAGCATCACGTTTCCCCTATAGGGTATGTGTGTATCCCCATACCTGTAGGGTATGTGTGTGCACGTGCGCACATGTATTTGTACGTTATGCTTTCGCTGTATTCACTTCTTCCTTTTCTCTCTCTCTATCTATCTCTCTCTCTTCCTCTCTCTCTCTCACCCATAGATTGCCGTTGCTCTCCCGTTGGCTCTAAAAGCAGCCAGTGCAGCGTGACCAGCGGCGAATGTTTGTGCCTACCTGGTTACACGGGACAGCGGTGTGATGAGTGCACGGACGCCGCTCAATACTACACCGAGCAAGCAGGCTGCCTAAGTAAGCGAGTACATATGTCACATGTGTTCCTGGTTGTTCTTGCTCTATATTAGGGACCTTTTGCAACGAAACGAATGCTGATTCGTCGCCTGGGTTCGAGAATTCGTCAGAGTCACTTACGAGGGCTCGGTTTCACGAATTGAAGCCACTTCATTCGTGACGCGCTCTGAATCCGTGAGGTACACATTATTTCCCCGGTACACATTTTTCCTTGATTCCATGATCCATGCACGTGTACGTGTAAACACGCGTACACCAAGCTATTCGTAGTTTCCATGGAAATTAGCACGACGACTTGCGAAACCTGAATCTATTTTCAACGAAACAAGGACGAGCCGAATCAAACTTTCGTTTCGCATTCGATTCGCAGCAGATGCGAAAGGTCCCTATTACCTGTAGATTGAATAAATGTCTTGCCGGATTAACGCCGCGGAGACACAATATTTACTAAAACAATAAAAATAACTAACTCTGCCGTCATCACCATGCATCAACTTGTCTTGTTTTTTTTTTCTTCTCTATACTGTGCTGTTGTTCAAGTAAGATTTGAAATATCGGTGGCGAAATGTTTAAACCAATTTCGTGTGTGTATGTGATCATGCATTATCTGACTGTCTCTGTGTGTGTGTGCTACATGCAATTGTCACCACCCATGCTGCACAGACATGAATGAGTCTATGCTGACACCGCTTGCGGATACTCAGGTCAGCGGGGATTCGTTCTCTTTCACCTACCCGGTGGTCTTTGGATCCAGCTATGCAGAGTACAGCAACGTTACGGTAAGACCATGGAGTTCTATACTCTATACAAACTACTTCAAATACAGTCGAATGATGGTCTCCTTTTCTCTTTTAGCTATAGGTGTAGGGCAGAGACCGTTTGGAGAGTGTTGTGAAGATGTATGGGTATCGTGGATGGCTACAGTGGAGTCTTCACACTTTTGACAAAAAATACAGTCGTGGCCAAAGAAATCCGACCCGCGTGCCAAAAGCAGCGCCAAGGCTCGTGCGGAGCCCTACAGCCCTCGGATCGGTTTTTGGAGCGCGATGATGTTATGTAATTGAAATGGAAGCGCGGCGCTACTTAAGAATCGTAGGCTGTATTTCTCTGGCCACGACCGTACTTAGTGTGCTAATACATGTATGTGCAGGGCAGCAGCGATGGTTGCCTTGTATTGGCTTGGGATTGGTTGGGCTGGATGTTGTCTTGGTTACGGTACTGCGCTGTGATCTCTGCACTTTGGTAACAGACATAGTCAAGAATGCAGCTACACTTGAAGTTGTCATACATCCTTAGATCAGAAGTTGCCCTGCAGGCTTGTTGGAAAGGCACAGGCATCATTGCAGGAGACAAATGGGTAGAATAGCTCCTTCTGTTGTTGGACATTGAGCCCCTGCTGAAGATGGATTCGGATCCTCTGTGGGGATTGTGTTGGAGGACATCTTGCAGGTATATTTGTCGATGCTAAGTTATAAGAATTTTGCTTGTGTGTGTGTGTGTGTGTGTGTGTGTGTGTGTGTGTGTGTGTGTGTGTTCATGTGTCAACGACACAGGTGTCGAGGAGCGGATTCGTGTCGCTGGCCGGCTTCACGGGCGGTTACAACCGTGTTGACCGTGTGACTGACAGTATTGCTCTGGTGGCACCGCTGTGGACTAACACTGCTACAGCCAGCCGTTGCAATTCAGGTACGGTGACTAGCCATGTTGTGAGCAACAGCACCGACGCAGCCACCTTCTCGCAGATCCTTCAGGCAGTGAGGGCGTCCTCCATTGGCAGTGAAGAGTTCACACCCAGCGAGGCGGTCGTCACGACCTGGCGTGAGATGCGCGAGAATGACACACACGACAGAGTAAGTCTAGCATCCCATTCAGACAATGATGAGATGATTTTGCCGTTCAGCCGTAATGGGTTGATGGTCACCATGCAGTATGGAATGCTCTTGCAATTTCTACGAAATGGGCACCATAACTGAGTTCGTCGCCAGATTTAGCACCGATGACCGTTAGGCGCTGCATCTGCCGCTAGGGTTTATCCGGTGTTAGCGGCCGTCGTGAGTTCCCTTCGGGAACGGATACGATAATTTACTTTTTTTTTTTTTTACTGCAGATGTGCTGATCCGAATCCCATTTCCGGCCAAATTGGAATGGGGATTTGAGCCTACATTTTGAGCTATTTTGACCGTACACTCTCGTGCGTGCTGGTTTATAGCGTGTCCCATCAGTCATTGCTTTGGATAGGTGCTGGAGAACCGTTGTGTAGGTGTGTGTGTGTGTGTGTGTGTGTGTGTATGTGTGTGTGTATGTGTGTATGTGTGTGTGTGTGTGTGTGTGTGTGTGTGTGTGTGTGTGTGTGTGTGTGTGTGTGTGTGTGTGTGTGTGTGTGTGTGTGTGTGTGTGTGTGTGTGTGTGTGCATGTGTGTGTGTGTGTGCATGTGTGTGTGTGCGTGTGTGAATGTGCGTGTGTGTATGTGCGTGCGTGTGTGTGTGTGTAAGTGTGTGTGTGTGTGTGTGTGTGTGTGTGTGTGTGTGTGTGTATTGTTGCCCATTCAACTGCCTGTCATGTAACCGGTGCTTTCGATCTGCTGCTGGATTTAAACAGCACAATTGCGCGCGTGGCAGGCGACCAACAACAAGGGAGCGTCTTGAGTTCAAGTTATGCTGTGCGTGCGGCGAGAGATATCGCAGACAGCAGGATCTGCAGCGGCATGAGGCCGGATGTTCTGCAGCGATGCCGTGATGCTACCCCTTTGTTTCCCTCCTCATCAGGGCAGCTTAGCCGTTTAACGGCAGCTGTTTGTCAAGGTCAAGATGTGTGTGTGTGTGTGTGTGTGTGTGTGTGTGTGTGTGTGTGTGTGTGTGCGTGTGTGTGCATGACGAAAGTAATGTTACTGTCTATATTTTTGTCCTGTTTCCGCTTCAGCGCAACACATTCCAGGCAGCCATCATTGGTGACGAGTGTCAGACGTTCGCCCTGTTCTTCTACCCCAAGTATGGTGTCAGCTGGCTGGGTAACCCCAAGGCTGTGGTGGCTGCATGGCGTCCCGCAAATGGCAACATCGAGAGCCACTTCAGCCCAGCCAGCGTAGCACGTCAGCTAGTCATCAGGCTAACACCGGGCTGCAGCCAGCGTCTGCGCGGCATCAATAAATGCCGAGCCCTTGTGGAGACTCCGTCCTACCTCCAGTCCACCGCCAATCTCCTCCAGTGCCCGGCAGAGCGTGCAACAACCTCTGTACTCGGCATCTTTGAGCCACAGCCCGCAGTGTCTGGCAGCTATCTCTGCTACAGGTCAACCCCGGTCTCCAATGGATCACGCTACCAGGCTTCTTCGGTAAGCCATGCGTGAGCTATCTGCCTGCTTGCCTTGCATTGTATCTTGGTACTGCTGGTCCTATTGTGTTGTTTGTTTGTTTAGGTTTATTTTACTTCACCAGAAGCAAAGGCAAAACCTACCTTCTCACTGGGCCTATTGCCACAGTTCTCGCAAAATGATCAAGTGTATTGCCTGTGCCCGGCTGTGCTTGCTGAATGAGTTACCCCCGGCCCCTGTCTAAAGGGTGAGTATCGTGTGTTTCATGCTTACAACCCATGTTTGTTTTGTGTGTGTGTGTTTGCGCTTTGTGTTGTCAGGTCTGCTGCTATGGCAGTGACGGACTTCTGGTTGATAGTGGTGCCCTTCAGGCGTACGAAACATACCAAGTCATCGATGCTTCCATCCTGGCCTACTGCCAGCAGGGAGACGTTCTGAACGAGTTCTTTGGCAAGCGCCGCTCGCCCAGAGCAACCACAACCAGAGTGGCACTGTCTCAAGGTAACGATGAACTGCTGCTGCTGCTGTTCCTTCACTCTCTTTGTAGACTAAACAAATTCACGGTTTGCATGAAACTCGGCTGGAGGCAGCCTAAGACTGTGATCTATTTCCCTACTTCATACAACGCAATACCGTTTGTGTTCAGGGCTAAGTTTTGGTTACGGGATTGGTTCCGGGGCGAACTGCAGCGGCTGAACATTTGTAAGCATGTACGCATAGTTCGATGTAATGACATACTATCAAACACAAACTGAAGTTTTGGAAATGTTTGGTTGCTACCTGCTACACATTAATCCCATGTGATCTGCTCTGTCCACTTTGTCCACAGCTTCTGGATTTGGTGACCCTCACTTGACCAACTTCAAAGGTGAGAACTTTGATTTCCATGGCATTGGCGAGTACCTGATGGCAAGGTTTGCAACACCAGCGGCGTACAATTTCTCCGTTTTCACCAGGCTGGAAGTGGCCCCGGTTAATGCTTTCAGCTTCACGTCTATCACCCGCGTAGCCATCAACCTCTGTAAGCTGATCAATGTTTTTCTCCGTGTGCGTATGTGTGTGTGTCTGCCTGTCTGTGTGTGCGCGTGTGTGTGCGTGTGTGTGTGTTTGTATGTGTGCTTGCTGTGTCACTAAATAGCAATTTCTGACATTGATTTGGTGAAGAGCACAGTAAAGTGCTGCATGAATTGGGCCTGACCAGATTTCGGCCAACTTGGGCATAGGCCATCACGGCTCATTCGGTTTCTTGCTCATAAAGCTGGCTATTTTCTCACACAGCTACACAGCATGCAAGTACGAGTTCTCAAGTTCAAAAATAAGGGAAATGTTGGTGCCTACAGTCCATTCATTGGAAACTGGCACCCTAACCTTTTGGTGTCTCCTGCACATTGTTGTAGATATTGTGAAAACAACAGTACATCCTGCATTGTGTGACCTGTGCAATTACTCCAAGCCACATTTGCCGAGGCCAGAAAAGTCGAAGAACAGGGAAACAGAAATTCAGCCAGGTTTTACAACATTGGGACAGGTATACCATAGCAAAATGTATGGAGGAGCAGATCCCAAACCCAGATTTTGAGATTTAAAGTGGGTTTTGATCCTCAATTCGGCCCAAATCGGACTTTCAAAAGCCAGCGGGACAGTTTCCGCCGATGAATGGACTGTATGACGATATTAAAACTTAGGATAACACTGTATGAAGCGGCTGGCCACCCTGAGATCTCCAGATGTTCACGCATGTTTGCTGAGCAAGATTCCATTAACATCTGCTTGTTTGTGGGCTGCGTGTTCTTTGGCTCACCACAGGGATCAGTAGGTTGCAGCAGACTCTGAGCGTGGAGGTGTTTGCATACAGTAACAACACCCTTGCCATTGTCGGAGATGATCAGCTGGTGCAGAGTATCCACGCGGGCAACCATACCTATTTCAGACTGCACAGCGGCAGTCTTGTGACGTCGTACGGCTCAAGCAGTGTGCAAGTCTCCGTTCAGCAAGCACCTGTCCTCTTCTTGGCCTTCCAAGGTTGGTTGCTACTGCACTCCACTGCAATGTAACAAGAAAAAGTTCTGGTAGAGCATGTCTGATAGCAGTGTGTATACTAGTGTGCCTTTTATTGAGTTTGATGACTGTCACGTCGCGTATTAAAGCCGGGCTTACGCCTGTAGAAGCCGATGTCAGAGTTAGGCATCTATTCAAACCTGGTACATGTATTCCTGTGCGGCGTGTCAACACTAAAATCAGGCTTATCTGCCAGTGTATCCTGAAAATCCGGCTTGTATTCAAAACAGGCTTCCATACGAGCCAGGCTTTAAGACAAGACACCACGGTATCTATTGGAGTTTCTGGTGCATGCCTGTTTTTCATTTTGGCGAATTCAGAGTTGTGGATATATAAGCGCTTAGCTGCCCTCACTTCGTGTCCTCCGGCCTCGGTTGTACTTACGCCAGCACACGGTGCATGGGTGCATGCCTTCACGGGCATTTCAAGATGTGAATTGATGTTTGTATGTGTTTGTTGCACAGTGGCGCATGATCCCTTCTCCACCGTGGACGGTCTTCTCAACATGTCTCGTCCCAGCGTTGATCTGAGCAACTCGGCAAGTGTACTGGCTGCAGCGGCAACTCGTAAGTTATTTTCCGCACTTAAAAAAAACTGTACAACTAGCTGGCCTTGAAATGCTGTCCTAACGGTATCCTCTGTTTTGAGGTGTTTTCACCAAGTCGTGCAACTTCTAATCAGTCATTTTTGCACCAAATTCAGATCCACAATGGACAATGGTCAATTGTGCATTCTTGTTTGCATCTGCCTCGTGCACTGACGCTGTATCTGCGCACGTATGTCTGTGTGTTGGTCTGTATGTCTGTATGTCTATCTGTCTGTCTATCTGTCTGCCTGTCTGTGTCCATCTGTGTCTGTCTGTCTGTCTGCCTGTCTGTCATAACAAACAGTGCAAGTTCAGCCACACCAATATGTGTTCACCTACGATGACAGCACCAACTACGCAACATACAATCCAGCTGGCGTTGTGCCCAACCAGGCTGTTGTCAACGTGCTGAACATCAGCAGCGAGGCAAACGCCACTTGCGATGGAGACTTCGCTTGCCTGGCCGACTTCATTGCAACTGGCAGCACCACACTGGCCGCATCTACCCTCGCGACGGAGAAAGCTCTTCAGCAATCCTCCATTGCCGTGGGTATGGACACACACTCTTGTGCGCTTGGGTCTTGTTGTTGTTGTTTATTTTATTTATTTACTTCACCAGATACACAGGCATGTCTGCCTTCTCACCTAACCGTACGCCTAGACTCTCACTGAAAGATTAATGTATTCTAACAGTACCGAAGGATGTACCCAGAGTGCTTGACAGTGCTCAACACCACAAAGGCAGAGCGTAATACACAACAGAACAACAAGGACAATCAAGGCTTGTTTGCTGCTACTTTAAGTTTCATGCTTACGCAATCATCAGGCAACATGATGCCTGATGATTGCGTAAGCATGAAACTTAAAGTAGCAGCAAACAAGCCTTGATTGTCCTTGTTGTTCTGTTGTGTATTCTAACAGTATGTACACGTGGACATGCACACTATTTTGTCACAGTGCAACAACGTGAAGCTTTCCAGGACTATCGTGTTGTGTACTCTGTGCATAAGGATCGAATGCGTTTTTGAGGCGTTATGGATAGTAGTAGCACCGCGACTCTCTTGTTTGATAGCCTGTACCCTGTGAAGATGCTTGTGTTCACTACGGATCAAACTTCAAGATTGAACTTCAGGCTGGTTTGTGTCAACATACATACATATACAAAAATTGCTTTGACACACACTTGAAAGGAATCAAAAGCATTTCTGCTGTTTCACGGTTTTATCTGATCATCAGACAACAACTGGACTACAATTTTCAGAAGATATGATGATATAGGCTGCAAGCTATATTGCTCGGGCTTGAATTGAAGTCTGACCTTCCCGTCAGCTTGCACAAGAATACGATTAACTCGACTTGTGTGCCATGACTTGTTTTCTTTCAGCTCGCAGTCCACCACTGATAACATTGTCTACTGATGTCCTCAATGCTAACTTCAATGTAACCAGCAACGTGACTGTTCATGCTGCTGCTACGCTCACTCTTAAAATCTCGGTTATCGAAGTGGCCACCTCCAGCGGAATTGTCCCTGGTGATCTGGTGTCGGCCTACTCCCCGCAGTCTGGATTGGTGCTTAGCTGGACTCCCAGCCAGCGCCAGCCGAGCAGCAGTATTGTGCTACGCGTGCGTGCCGTTGACTCGGCCAACCAGACTTCCATCGTCACCGTGCCAATCACCCTCTGCAGCTGCTTTGGAGAGTGCAGCGCAGCACCAGCCAGCACTGCTGTCTCAACAGCCTTCACTCTACTTACATGTACTGCATGCTTGCCAGGTGAGAGATGACGTAAATCCAGGTGAAAGTTTGAACTAGTTGGAGCAATCAACTTCATAAAGGAAAGTTTTAAGTTTTATGATAGTATTGAGCAGAATTAGCAAGGCGAAAATCGTACGTAGCAATAAGTATAGGATATTGACCAAGACGAGGTTCATATGGGAAATATAGGCCGAAGTCGAGGTCAATATCCTATTTATCACGATTCCTTTGCCATAACCCCAAAATTTGAACCTTTAGGAGCTATTTTAACCTTTTTAGTATAGCATTTGTGCTATAGTGTACATAGGATGTTGCCTATTTTGGGTACAAGACTGTAAGAACAACAGGGTTCAGCATCTGCAGCACAGTGGCTGGGTGGTATAAGGGGTTGCTTGAGATTCATACTGTTGTGAGTTCAAATCCTGCTTGTTCTCTTCCTTTGTCTTCTTTCTTTCAATTTTTCTTTTTGAAGTGGAGAGAAAAATTCCAAGTCCCTCCAAAGTCGAAAGATTACCCCTATATATATTATGCCTAAGTGGTCGATACAAGCGGTCGATATAAGCGGTCGATATTGCGGCGATATGGGTAATATAGGACCAGTCAAGGATCACGAGAATTAGTGGAGGTCGACATAGAAGAGTGATAACAAATGATTGATAGGTATGGTGGTAAAGACACACCTGGCAATATGGCGGTAAACACACGCCTGCCCACACACGCTCTCTAGGCTGCAAAGTTCTGGCACGGAGCTCTCCTTCTCACCACCACCACCATCAGTTCAGCCATGGAGGTATATTCGATTATAAAGCAATGGGCTTCATAAATGAAACGACATTTGAAGTATGTTTTGTGAAAATGAAGGAATAAGTTCTATACTAAAATAACTTACAGCCCGGCAGGAAGGGTGAACAAGTGGATTTAGACTGAAATTTCTGTGTGGACTTTTACTTTTATGGCATGGCGTACTGGGTGAGTCATAATTATTGCGTCTAAAATAGCTAGGAAAGCAGCGGTGTTCTGAATATAAGGCCATGGCTTTAAAGGTGGGGCTGACATACGGTAGGGACCTGTAATTGTCTTTTTATGATGCTATTTTTTACTAACCACGATACAGTGTACAGACCAACACTTAAACTATAGACCTTATTCGATAACGTGATTTTTGGACTCGCCTCCAGGGATTTGTCGTAAGCTGGGGCACGCGTACGTGAAACGAGTGGCAAGAAAGGCCCAGGTCGTACAAGGGAGTAGTAAAATACCGGTATTTTCTACTCCTGTGTTCCCACGCCAAGTCCACTGTGCACTGAGTGCAGGTCTCTTGCCACTACCTGGCTCCCGGGACCCCGTTTCACGTGATTGTGACGTTTATCGAATAAGGTCCATAGCTCAACCTAGGTTACAACTTGGCTACATTGAAACAAATGTAGTTTGTGAAGTATGCGACAATGTAAGTGAGTGCTTTACCACAGAAGCTCACGAATGACCTGAGCTGCGTTAGTTGACATGTTACACTTTACCAGGGGCGTAGCACCCGCTACGACTGGTACGACCATGGTCGTACCACTTTTCGAAAAGCATGGTCCGTCCGGAACGTTCAAAACCTTAATAAAAAATCAGGATCTATCGATGCATATGCCCATCGGACTTTTACCTTTTTCTATACTTGTACTCGTAGATCTGCCATGGATCTGCAGTCGTACTTGTACTGTACTCGACTGGACTGCACAGTCGAGTCCCAGAATGCAGGAATTTTGTATCTTTTTACAAAACATTTCCCGCCAGAGGTCCCCTGGACCCCCTCCAAAACGGCCTTCCGCCGCGCCCACCTTCGGTCGTACCACTTCCACAACCCTTCCTACGCCCCTGCTTTACTGTGAAACATGTCTAAGACGACCGCACAAGGGACCTTCAAAATGTAATATCTGTTGCCAGGTGGTCTCCTTATCCAGGGTCATTTGACTGGAAATAGCATCCCTTAGTCCTGGTTTCAGTGGTCTTCCTGGACAGGTGGTCTTCCTGGACAGGTGGTCTTCCTGGACAGGTGGTCTTCCTGGACAGGTAGTCTTCCTGGACAGGTGGTCTTCCTGGACAGGTGGTCTTCCTGGACAGGTGGTCTTCCTGGACAGGTGGTCTTCCTGGACAAGTGGTCTTCCTGGACAGGTGGTCTTCCTGGACAGGTGGTCTTCCTGGACAGGTGGTCTTCCTGGACAGGTGGTCTTCCTGGACAGGTGGTCTTCCTGGACAGGTGGTCTTCCTGGACAGGTGGTCTTCCTGGGCAGGTGGTCGCCTTTGCATGTTTTACTGTACTTGTCATTGTTCGCTTACTTGATTTCTTCTGCTCGTTTCTTCTGGTTCAGGTCAAACTGGCCGTATTTGCGAGAGCGACATCGACGCTTGCCTGTTGCAGCCCTGCGGTGGACTGCGGCAATGCTCGGACGAGCCCGCCCCATCGCTGGGCTACCGATGCGGAGCATGCGCAAGCGGTTTCCGCGACGGCGGTTCTTCAAACTTGTCCTGTGTGCAAATGGACGAGTGCGCGGAAGGTGTTGCGGTGTGCGCACCCACAATCAGCACTTGCCAGGATCAGCTTGCCTCCTATCACTGTCCTTGTGCAGTGGGCTATACTGGTACTGGAAACAACAGCTGTGTCGGTAAGTTTTTTACGGATATAATATTTATTTAATTTTGTTACAGGTCCTTTTCTCAATAAAACTGTGTGTGTGGTCCTTTTCTCTTTACCATTTTTTTTAAGCTGTGTCGGTAAGTACATGTGGGCGACAGGGACGCACCTGGTCCCCTCTTTGGGGGGGGGGGGGGGTTGCACGGCAGCTGTATCATACATGTCCCCTAGGATGGTTGGTGCATGTCATCTTGGGCATTATGTGCATGCTGAACCTAGGTCGAACCTTTTAGGGCGTGCATTCCCCCCCCCCCCCCCCCCACCCCCCCCCCCCCCCCCGTGCCCATATGGGCTATGCATCTGGGCACTGTGCTGACCCAGTCGCAATATTTGTGCTTCTTATGATGTGTTGTACTAGTTGTATGCCAAGCACAGGTGGCAGTTTGACCTGCGAGAGTGCTCCACACATGAAGCAGGCAGAGCCTTGTCCGATGTGCCAGGAAGCTCTGTGTGACAACCGTATTCTTCCTACCATCGTCAACTTCTGTGCACATTCCCTCTACTAGTACAATTTCAAAGAGTGGGGAGAAGAGGACGGCAGGCATTTTTTTACCAATAAATACTTGTCTAAAATCTCACGACCACTCCGCCGACTTTGGTTTCGGCACGAAACATTAAAAGTCAGCTGTTGTGGTGTATCGTTGTGTTCATTGCTGCTGTCTCTCAAGAAAGGTTACTCTTTTGATTGGGATGTATTTCTGCAGATGTCGACGAGTGTCAAGATGCTCAGTTGAATGACTGTGACCATACATATGCAACCTGCACCAACACCAGAGGAAGCTATACGTGTGGTTGTAAGCGTGGATTCCAGGGACCGGGTATTAGCGCACATGGAGGTTGCCATGGTAAGTTTCCGCATTCTCTCTCTCGCTCTCTTGCCCTCTCTTGCTCTCTCTCTCTCTCTCTCTCTCCCTCTCTCTCTCTCTTTCTCTCTTTCTCTCTCTCTCTCTCACACACACACACACACATCCTTGTGTGTTTGTCCTCCTTTTCTGCCCGGTCGCTAGCACATGTTGAGGAAGTCACATAGCCTTTCAGATCAGGGCCAATGGAAATGTCAGCGAAAGTGTTTTGCAGCTCCGCTGGGTTTGACCCGTTGTTTTGCAGCTCCGCTGGGTTTGACCCGTTGGGTTTGACCCGTTGTTTTGCAGCTCCACTGGGTTTGACCCTTTTTTCGAGATCATGAGTAATACTGTGGGAGGCGGTCTGTGGCTGCGGGAACCTTGCCGCTGGAACCTTGCCGCTGGAACCTTGCCGCTGGAACCTTGCTGCTCAGCATATGCTCTGCGTGTGCTCTGTGCAATGCACGTCGTGCGTCCTGGTAAAGGTGACATCAGCAAATAAAAACATGTTGCCGTGGATCAGACTAAATAAAAACATTTTGCCGTTGATCAGACTAAATAAAAACATTTTGCCGTGGATCAGACTAGCTGCGGTGCTGCACGCTCTAGTTCTCTTTCTACTGTGTAGCACATTCAAAATCTTTATGATGTCATCTATACGTTATTTTCTCCCTATGCAAGTCGCAACTCCTGTTTTGAGTTGTTTTTCTTCTCTCTTTTTCTTTCCCTACTACAGTCCATTTCAAAACTATAGACGCGTAGGGTTTTTGAAATATTTCAAATTTGGCTGGACCTTTTTGAGAATAGTTTTCGGAATATTGCTCAGGATCGCTCCACAATTACTCTCATATAGTTTCTAAACGATTGGATAACAGATACCCAATTTGGAAAAAATTATGCACAAAATGATCACAGATTTTATGTGGTATAGATGCTGGCATAACGGTTTTTGCCTATTCTATATTTTCCGCATACAGATATCAACCAAGTAGTGAAAAGAAAATTGATTTTGGTTACACCTCTTTGGAGATCTCTTTGTTGTGTACGTATCATGACCACGGAACGAATAATATTCATTGCTATCATCATATTATTCATTGCTATCATCAAAATATCGTCTCCACGCCGCTTTACTTCACTGTTTTCTAGCTGTAACCTGCCAGGTGCCAACTATCAGCAATGTGATAAATAGCCAAACAGGGATGATCAGATATCAAGAATCGGTAACCTACACCTGCAATACTGGGTACACACTGAGTGGAGTGAGAACATCAACATGTACAGCTGATGGTACTATACTATCACCCAGTTGTCTAGGTCTAGGTGAGCAAAACGGGTATCAATGTATCCTGATCAGATGACAGTGATAATAAAGTGTGCCAGCCTATCAACATGTCCCTGTGCATAACGTGTCACAGATTCTACTAACTAATGATGCTTTACTCTAGTTGGGCTCACACAATGAGAGAAACTTGCGAGAAATTCTCACTCTGTGTAGTAAAGGTTTCTTTTTTTTGTGAAATGCCGTCAAAACTTGTCTTCGGTGTAAAGGTGACGATAGATGACGAGTTTGGATGACTGCGACATATCAATGCCCCAAGAGCTCTCCTTGATGGCCAAGCTCTCCAGGTGGAGGAGCCATCTGGATGTGTTCACGTTCTCTTCACGCTGTAGGCCAAGGATCCAGCAAAAACATCATATCAGATAGGTCGCTCGAGATACTCTTAGATATGATAACACAGTAGCAAAAGCAACGGCAATCCTCAGACAACTGCTATCTCGTCATACATGTGCTTGTGGTAGACTATTAAAATGTGCTCTGTGCAGCCTGGGCTTAAACCCATAGGGACTGTATTCAATCTGAGCAGTGCTCAAGCTGGCCTTCATGTCACGGAATGTCTCAGTGCTCCAAGTCAGTTTTGTGCTAGATTGTGCGTGTCTGGCTGTTCAAAATCTAGTTTGATTGGTGGACTCGATCACATGTTTCCATGTTACAAACGTTAGTGAGTACGCAATGAACACAGTCTCGTGTACAATCAAGTATTATAATCTTTATTTCAGGATTACCCAAAGGCTGACGCCTATCGGGGGGGGGGGGGATCTCCTGTTTGTGTATATACAATGAACATTGGAGTTGGGAAAAAGAGAAAATGTGCAACATGAGTTCGGAAACAGAGAGATGCTGTACAAAAGATACAGTGAAAGAACAAGCAGTGTACATGTAAATCGATGATTGCACATCAAAGGTATACCAGTGCAGTCGAACTGATATGTTGCAATGTAAATACGTAAATGACGCTTGAATTCTGTTATGGAATCCAAAGGTGTCAATCGGGGTGGGAATGCACCAGTTTTCTGTAGGAAGAGACATGAGAAAATTCGGCAATGTGAGTTAAAAATGAGCTTTTTGGGCTACGTGAGATGGTAATCGCAAAGCGAGAGAGATAGTCTGGGTGGAAATTGATATACTTGAATAAAACAACCAGAGAAATGAAGTTACGGCGAAATTGCAGGGATTCCAAGTGACACAATCTATTCTAATTACTAAAATTAGATTTTGATTCAAAGTTGTCAAAGTCTATTTTCGCAGACCTCAGGAGTCGCCGGCAAACCTTAGCCTGGAGTACATCAAGGGAGCATGACTTGTTTTGAATGTGCAAATCCACCCTCTGGTACCCAGCATGGTCTTCGCACCACAACCCCCCTCCCCCCCCCCCACACTTCCCCACCCGCCTTCCTTGTGGGATTTTTACTCTGAATGCAATTTCAAGGTGTCTCGCCATCACTTCTGCCTTTAATAGTGCAACCATGCTAGTGTTATTTGAAAAGGGTTTGATCCCCACAATGGAGCTTGCGGTATTCGGCCGACTTGACTAGACATTTGACTGACTCACGACTGCCATTCAGAGCACATGAGAAGTCCATTGAACCTTCGACTTTCTTGCAAACCTGCAAGAATGCATCACTCCCTGCTCGATAGACAGTGTACTATTTCATGCTAGTGTTATTGTCTGTCTTTGTGACTGGCTGCCACAGCACCTTTCACCCGACCGACAGCTGGTCAAACCCCAACCCATGCAGCAAACGGGATATCCACAGCAAAACCACCCAACGGTAAACATTTGGGCAATGCAAACTATGCCTGGGTTGGTGGCGTAGTCAGTGGTCTGCTAGTTATTGCCGGGATTGCAGCCGTTCTGATATTCCGCCGTCGTCGCAGCTCTCAACAAGGGGCGACTGCTCATAGGTCAGTGATGTTTTCATGTAGCTTACACTAGTCAAGTGGTTTGCTTCACTGTCTGAAGATTGCTCAGTACCCATGTAGGGCATAGCCTTGTACACAAGAGAGAGATTGGAAGCTTTGTCACAACTCTGACTTTCAAGTATCACTACAGTTGCCTGTAGATTGTTGTAATACGTGAAACTCAGAGTTGTCACAAAGCTTCTAATCTTTTTTTTTTGTACCTTACACTACCATTTAGTTTGTCCATTTCCCTTATGCAAAGATTGGCCAAGTTTGCTTTGTGATGCCAATACGAGGAATCATTTTAATACCGATATCACTGAATACGCACGATAGTCACTATTACTGGTAAATACACTGCCATCACGCGTCCTCAGTTCCTGAAGTTTATTTATCCTGGGGAGTGATGGGTGTAGATGGATAGGATTACAGTTCATAAGCAGCAACCCATCCCCGACCCATGGCACGTAGTTAATTATGGTTCCAGGGACGAGAGCGAAGTTCCATGTGTGGAAAATAAACCCTATTTCGTTTTATAGACAAGGCTGAAGTTCATGGTTTAATCCCTCACTTGGGCGCTACAGGTCTTGTCTTTTAATGTTGAAACCGTTTCCAAGAGTACTATGAGCCGTAGTCAGCTTTACAACAATGGAAAGTCACGTTTTTGGGCCAGATGACGAGATATGGTCCATTTACAACAAATATAACAACAGCATCCACACCAACAACAACAACAACAACAACAACAAAAACAACAACAACAACAACAACAAAAACACCACTAACAACAACAACAACAACAACAACAACAACAACAACAACAACAAAAATAACAACAACAGCAACCGCAAAGAAGATCCGGCTTAAAGCCATGTTGGGATGCCTAGGTGTCTCCTGAAAACTTTCCAGGGAAAGCAGTCACCTTTGACGGCATAGAAACAAGCTTAGCTGAACGCACTTGCAAAGATTTCAAGGCACCAAGGAAAAGCCGATGAATCGCGACCTGTTGAAACCTGTTTTAGTTGGTCAGCGTCTATTAAGAATGGCTTGGCTTGTCACGTGACATGTGACATAGGTTCAGGTCCCACTCCCTGTATCACTAAGGTAACCGACAAGATGATTGGACGTCAATCAGCACATAGAAAGGCCACTGTGCTATGTTAAAATGAAAATGGGAATTGATTAAAGGAAAAAATTGGAGGCGTATCCAATTTCGAAAGAAAAGTTGACAGCACCGACGCAATCCACACAGTCAAGTAAGCAAATTCCATAACCGAACGTTTTCGTTCCCTTCTCATCATCTGTAAATACAGGGAATATGCGTCGGTGCTGTCACCTTTTCTTTCGGAAATGATTGAGTAAAAGAAACTTGACTGATCATACCCCCCCTATCATACCCCCCCCAACCCCTATCATACCCCCCCTCCCCCCCCTATCATACCCCCCCCCCCCTATCATACCCCCCCTATCATACCCCCCCTATCATACCCCCCCCCTATCATACCCCCCCTATCATACCCCCCCCCCGCTGTAAGGTATGAAGGAATCTGTAAAAACACGTTTAACCAAATTTTTAGGCAGTCTCACGCCCCGGGTTGATTTCAACCCTCCCTTAGTGTCGATCCTTGTGACAAATTTCGTCGAACTCCAGCATCATATTGTTTGGTTTGGGGCATTAACAGTTTTCATATCATTGAGGAATTACAAAGAAGATTATGTGAGTTCTTGCTTCCGTATGTTATGCGTGTTCTTCCTTCCGATATGTTTGAATGCTTGCTGTTGTGCGTGGATTTCGTGTCCATGTGTGTGTGTGTATTGCTTTGACTATTGGATTTGCAGAAGCAAGCATGAGGCCTTGCAACAGTATCAGCAGTCGTCTGCTTGTTCAACTCAAGACTTTCAGCATCGCGGTACAACCATGAGCTGGGGGGTGGAAAAGGGTGAAGAGAGTGATTTTTCGGAGACACCCGCTGCCCCAATCCTATCCGCAATTCCGGCTTCTTCCAGCGAGGCATCACTACACAGTAATACGTATGAAAACAAGGTCACTTTGACACTTGAAACACTCAATGCGACACCCAGCAAGCGTACACCCAGCAAGCGTAAGCTTCTGTCGTCAGACACAGTGGATGAAGAACTGCTGAGTGCAAGTTGCACTGATTCCCTGGACAGCCGCCGTAGCACTCTGGACAGCATGCAGTCTACTTGCATAAGATGAGTTTTTATAACGGCAGAAAGTGCGCCAAGTACAAGCACAACTTCACTCAGAAAAATCAGAGTATTGTCCTGATTTACTGTTCTCTTAAAGCCACTTCTTCAAGAACTCTCTTGCATTTCCTCGTTTCATAGTAATCATGTTATTATCTAGGTTCTGTGCTTTGGTTTCGTGCTGTTCACACTAATATCATCCAGAACACGTTCATCTGATGACTGGCCTATATGGTAATGCAGTTTTTGTGTATGATCCGTGCACTTGAGTTTTGCAACATGAATTCCACGCTCCCCTTCACACTCACTTTTATGTTCATCCAAACGGTTTGGCTGGGCAGCTGCATCACGTGACACTCAAGGTGGAATCAAAACGTCTTTCTTTCCCCCTTGTGACCCAGTAGGCCATAGGTCATATGGGATTCATCTACTGCTTGGCTTCTACTCTTGCCTGCTTTTCGCGCTGGCAGCTTATAATTTCTCCTTGTGCACCCTGTAAGTAGGCCAAAGGCCTGTTTGGTATACTCAAGTTGGTATACTCAAGTTAAAATTTTAATAGTAAATACTACCGCCACTACTACCCAGTTCATTTTTAAAATCTCCCTGTCCTCTTGTCCTCCCACCCTCCTCTAGTCCTCCCACCCTCCTCTAGTCCTACCAATAATATTCACGCTACTCTCTATTCTCGAATGCGTTGATTCCCATTTACCATGTTGCATTGGATGATGAATATAATATACAGCCTTTTTTACTGAATGTATTGCACAGAGCGTAAAACATAGCAGAGGATAGAACTTCAGAGTTGGCAATAACTTCAATTTTCATCCCACAAGTTCATTATTCATTGCAATAAGTTAACTGACATGTTATATTATATATTTATATTTATTCCCGTAGCTATGCAGAAGGCGTTACTTCAGTAACGTCTGGCGCTAGCCAGGGTCCACACAGCTTTAATTCCCGTAGCTATGCAGAAGACGTTACTTCAGTAACGTCTGGCGCTAGCCAGGGTCCACACAGCTTTAATTTGTTATTTGTTTGTGTGTTTGTTTGTTTGTTTGTGTCACGCCTGGCGCTATCCCGTATCTGACGCAAAAATCATAGGGATGTTATAAATTTTTGAATTCCCCTATTTTTTCAGGCATATCCTGGGATTCGAACCCGCACTATCGCCCTACATGCATTCCCCCATACACTTCGCATTCATACCCATTCTTCCAAGTTGCTTCACGTTATGATCTTGCGTTTGAAAGCCCTATTTGAATATTGCGGGCAGCTGTATCAGTCCTTTCC